TTTTTCAATATATTTATTTTGTTTGTAAAAAGTAAAGAAATAATTTTTAACGATACAATAGGCATGATTATTATTTTAAAAAGTTTACATTAGGCTTAACATCGACAAAAATTCAACATGAAGCGACATGCAACGGAGAAAAATTTCAATACTGGATAGGTTAATGTATTTTTTCGTACATAATCAGTTATCCGAACAACCCCAGTCCCCAATTGATTCGGATAAACGACGCTCTACTGTATTTGGATTGGACACATAAATTGCCAGAGTCGTCGTGTTCCTTTGTTTCTGAATATCTGCAGTGTGTTCTTTCAGTCTAATCTCTAAGGATCATTTGGTGGAGCCCACATACAGAAGGTTTCTATCACATCTGCGATCTATAATCGGAATGCTGTAGACCCCTGACAGCTTACCCTCAACTGGTTGATCTTTTCCATTGGTTAGGATGTTAAAAATCAAAGTGCATCTTCTGTAGGCGATACATATGCAGTTCTTTTTTAGCTATCTCGCCATATATCCCTCTAATATATGGTATAATAATATAGGCCACACATATTATTAAAACGGGTAAAGAACAAAGTGAAGTAAAAAGGTTAAGAACAAAAATTTGGCGCACACGAAGATGGATGAAACAGAATGGAATCACGGTAGTTAGGGCCGATAAGTCCAACGCTATGGTCCTTATGAAGCGTAATACATATGACCAATTGTTATCGGAACACATTAAGCATACTAGTTGTGACATTGTACAAAGAATACGGTGGACAAACTACAAGCTAGAGTTAAGCATTTTGCAAATACTAAACTTGCTAAGAGACTGGAAATGAGATATATTATTGTTGATTCACCTGATACACCGAAGTTGTTTGCCTTTGCGAAAATCCACAAAGTAGGGCAGCAACTTTGCCCTGTTATAGATAAAGCCAGAGCGCCAACACACAAACTGGAGAAATTCACACACAAGCTTATCACGCCTTACTTGGAAGATTATCCGTACATGCTGAGTGACCCTGTGGACCTAACAGATTCCCTCAGGAAGATCACCATACCACCTAAGTTTCTCACAGTATTGGATTTCAAGTCATTTTTCCCATCAATCCTACTCCCGCCATCAGAGATTTATTACTCTCCATCCTCAACGATAATACTGTACACCAGCAAATTCTTGAGATCGCCCATCTGTTGCGTTAAAATTCTTTTTTCCAGTTCAAAGGTATCATGTACATGCAAGGAAGAGGAGTCCTTATGGGTAGTCCGGTCTCTGGGGACTTATGCGAGATGGTAATTAGACTACTTGAAGCTAAGGTCCTCCCACACCACCTGCACAATGTCATTTTGTATAAGAGATATGTTGACAATATTATCATATTGAGGAAAGAAATACCGGACATCAAGGCTTTTGTCGACACAATGAATGATAACACATATGGATTAACCATAGAAATAGAACAAGCGCACCAGACAAATGTACACTTCCTAAATAGTGACATCAAAGTAGAAGAGTCCGTAATCTACACTTCAGTGTACCGAAAGTTAGGAACAAAGGGCATATACATATCAGTAGGGTCATGTGACCCACCACAATATAAAGTTGCACCATTTAGAGCACTAATTAAGAGAGCACACATGCACTTTTCTCCTGAGCGAGTCCTACAGTCAGAGCTAAGGCTTATACATCGAATAGCCGCTGAGCATGGATACAGCAAGCTCATACGCAAGTTAATGCATGGATATCAAAACTCAGCTCAAGACCTACCACAAAGGGAGGAACGACAAGATATGGATAAGATCATTCCAGTCAATTATAATCAGTATATTAGAGGGCTATATGGCGAGACAGCTAAAAAGAACTGCATACGTATCGCCTACAGAAGATGTGCTTCGATTTTTAACATACTAACCAATGGAAAAGATCAACCAGATAAGGATAAGCTGTCAGGGATCTACAGCATTCCGATTATAGATTGCAGATGGGATAGAAACCTTCTGTATGTGGGCTCCACCAAACGATCCTTAGAGGTTAGACTGAAAGAACACGCTGCAGATATTCAGAAACAAAGGAACATGACAACTCTGGCAATTTATGTGTTCGATCCAAATATAGACCCCGAATTTAAGAAAGCTAGAATTATCCGCACCACATGGTACATAGACCATATCAAGTGGCTGGAGGCGGCCAGCATATACGAGGGCTGTTCGGAATGTTCGCGGCCTCACATAGAAAAACAAACAAAATAATGTTAAAACTTTTTTTATTTTTCAATGTAATCTTCTCTGTTAGCAATGCTCTTATTCCAGCGATGTTCTAGCTTTTTTATGCCATCACAATAGGTCGATTTGTCAAGGTGTGCAAAATACTCGTTCACTTCAGAGATGACTTCGTCATTTGAGTGGAATCTCTTTCCAGCCAAGAATTTTTTTAGGTTTGGAAAAAGGTGGAAGTCACTGGGGGCCAAATCAGGTGAGTACGGTGGATGTGGAACTAATTGGAAGCGAAGTTCGTTTATCTTTTGTTCAGTGATTCTGGCGGAATGTGCAGGTGCATTATCGTGGTGGAACAGAACTTTTTTCTTCTTCAAGTGTGGCCTCTTTTCTTCGATTTCTTTCTTCAGTTTTTCCAAAAGTTCACAGTAATAGACAGCATTAATGGTCTTTCCTCTTTCTAGGTAGTCAATAAAGATGATGCCTTTAGCATCCCAAAAAACCGAGGCCATCACTTTACCCGCTGATGGAACTGTCTTTGCCTTCTTTGGTGGTGGCGAACTGTGGTGTTTCCATTGCTTCGACTGTTCTTTTGTTTCAGGAGTGTAGTAATGGATCCACGTTTCGTCAGTAGTCACAAACCGACGCAAGAAATCCTGTGGGTTTTTCTGGTAGAAGTCCAAACACTCCTTTGACATCAAAGTGCGAACACGTTTTTGCTCGGCGGTCAGCAGATGCGGCACCCACCTTGCTGAGACCTTCGTCATACCCAAATCTTCGGTTAGGATGTGGTGCACTCGGTCGACAGAGATGCCTGTTGTCTCAGCTATCTCACGCGTTTTCAAACGGCGATCTGCTAATACCAAATCGTGAACTTTGTCGATGTTTTCTTCAGTGACAGCAGTTGACGGCCGTCCGCTGCGAGGGTCATCTTCCACACTTTCTCTGCCAGATTTAAAAAGGGCTGTCCATTTTTTCACAGTGGTGTACGAAGGAGCAGACTCTCCTAAAACTTCATCCATGTCAGCTTTGATTTGAGATGGGGTCAACCCTTTTTTCGTCAGGTATTTTATGACCGCACGAGTCTCCGTCTTCTCCATTTTTGACAAAGCATGTGCACATTGACTATCTGCTAAGCTGTCGTGGCAAAACTTTATGACAAATCAAGCGGAAATTGGTATCGTATCTTTAACAAGGATGACTGAATTATTCCCGCCAAAAATTAAATTGATGGCAGCGCCGCATATAGGCAAGGCCGCGAACTTTTCGAACAGCCCTCGTACTTAGCTATCCTTAAGAATAATCAATGCATCAATTATAAAGAAGAGATTACACTATCAGTAGTGTGGCTAGCGCTTATGAACAGTAATTTATGATAGCCGTATTGAAATCGACTGTGCATGACAGACAATGACGTAAATGGAAAACGTGCATTCAAACATACATATTTTCGAATTTGAAGTTTTACGGGCATTTCCATCAGAGATTCAAAGATATACCTGAAGAAGAACCATCGTTAGGGTTCGAAAACGTTAGTAAAAAGCTATTTTTGTTCGTTACGATTTAGTAGAAGAAGGAGAACGCACCGGTAACAGGTTAGAAAGAGTTTTTATTAGTATTCTCTGGTGTTGAGATAAAGACGTGTAGTTTTCTTTACTATAGTTATTTTTTTTCAATGTACTACTTAGCTTTAATTTGAGTGTGTTTTTCTTGTTGGAATGAATTATTTGGTTTTACATGTAATCGTATGGGGAAAAATGTTTCACCTTACGACATTTCCATGATATGATCTCAGTTTCAGAACGGATTAATTTTGTATCCTGAGGTACCACTGTAGTTTGATTTATATTGTCTTTATTGTAAAAAGTATGGAAGAATGTGTTGAGGAATTAGGGAGTGCATTATTATAATATTGCTTGTTTACTTAAATTGTTTACATATTACTGATTGTAAGCTATACTAATTCTCATCAAACTAAATTATTATTTTTGTTTATAATTAATTACTTGGAAAAAAATCATTTAAATAGGTTGCACTTGCTAAATGATTCATCCAATAGCAAAAATAAATGACATAGTTGGATTATGTATATAAAATGAACTGAAATAAAATGAAAATAAAATTAAATATACAGTTATTTCACTCTCATATCAGATATATATGAATAGTTGTGTATCCCTATTTGTGAAATCTGCATTCATGGATTTGTGCCTTTGGCACAAATCAATGAAAATTATTATACTAAAAATTTGGCTGCTGTTCACTGACTGCACTTACTCCAAATGATGCTGAATACATGTGTCTTCAGTCTCTCAGTACCCAGCTGCTCCATTGTGGACCTGGCTGAACCCATAATGGCCTTGCTAAAAAAGCCCCTCCTAGTGGCCACAGTGCAGAAAGAGTTAAAAGAAAGTCTCACAATGATCATTATTTAAGTCTTTGATCTGGTGAATACACCAATGCATGCCTTGTGCTGATACGATAAAATTCTGACACAATATTTTCAGAAATGCGAGTCTAAAATATTACATATTATTGTAAAGCAAACTTGAAATCTTTTAAACCCATTTAAATATTTTTCTGTTAATTGTAAATAGTTGCTTGAGTGTTGTTTAGGCATAGGTAGAAAACATCTGGGGCTATTGGGGTAAGAGTATAAATTTTGCAGAATTTCACATTTTCATAGAAAGTATTGAAATATAATCCCATAAATATTGAGATAACTGTAATATTATAATAAATTTTTATATTGAAACTGTAGATTATTGAAACTTCAATAAAACTTTACATTATAATACCTGTTTACATCCTCCATTTTTACATGATGTTCCAATTGGAATAGAAGTACCATCAACACCTGAAAATTATAATAATAATTTTATTTTAAATCCAACTCAATGACAAAAATTTCACATACTTAGGTTTGTTTTATTTTTCATATTAAAATATATCAAACACTGATTTAAATAAACTGACTGTGTTATTAAATAGCAAACAACAAATCTAAATATAATGCAAAATAGTTTATAACAGTTAAATTATTTGATGAATAATAAACATTTCAGTCATTTAATTTTCTTCAATATGGAAGTGAAAGATGACTATAATGGACAAAACTTTATCAAACCTACAGGACATTATAATTTTTGCAAGGTATGCTGATGACATATTGATTATAATAATGTAATAACATTCGTTCAAATATTGAAACAAGCCAATGAGATTGATTCAAATATATTAAATTCACTCAAGAAACCGAAAATTATAATAAAATAAATTATTTAAACATAACAATTACAAGGTTTATAGATCACCTTGAATATTGTAAATTTGAAGAACCATGTAGTGCTAAAAAAGTTATTAACTTTAAATTGTTTTGTCCTATAAATCAAAAACGTAATATATATTTAATGGAAATAAGATAGATATTTTCCAGAACAACAAAAACAGATATGAGAGAACAGGAAATTAAAACAACACACAAGAAGTATATTCTAAATGGGTATCCAAAACAAATACTAAGTAATTGGTACAACCACTTCATGTTAAATAATATAAGATGAAAGAAAAACTAGAAACCAAAAAGTATGTATCATTTTCTTGTATAAAAGACATACAGTGGGTGATTGGTTAATGAACATAATCCATTCCAAGACTTTGTTTGCTATCCGAATTATTCGTTAACAGATTATTGATTTACTATAGGTTTCTATGGGAATTTAATTAATTTGTTCTGGAGATCCCAAAAAATAAAAAATATATACTTTCTTACTACATTTTTATTATTACTATATGTAATAATAAAAATACATATACACACAGTCTTGCATTTTTACTAGTCATGTTTTTTCCATTTGTGGGGGTTAAAGAATCTGTCTAATGTCGATTGCTTTTCTCTCTTTTTCAGAATTTTTCAAAAGTAATTAATAGCATTGTAATTGTAGAGATCCCCAAGTCTATTAACCTCAACCTGATTTGGATGCCATTCTAAGACCGTTGTTCTGACATCCTCTCACTTCTTCAAAAGATCTTTAATAGCAGATATCAGAATTAATCCTCTTTTTCAGAAGAAAACATATCTCACCAAATTTCTTGGTGTTCTTCATTCAAGAGTTCTTAGTGTTCTTCTGTCGTCAGATCCGTTTCAGGTTCCATTATGAGCTCTTCAATGCTCTTTATTTCTCAAATATGATTTTTGTTACTCCTTTAGCTGCTGGAGTCTTCTTGATTATACAGTATCTTTCTTAGATAAGAATGAACTGTGGCCTACTGTAGACCTGTTCAAACCATACTGCCCAGCAACATCAGACATCTTCTGCCCACTCTCTACCTTTGCTATTATACTCTCACCTTTCGAAAATAAAAACCCACGCAAAACTTAACGAGTGCCTGTCTGGCAGTCTTGCGAATACTATAAAAGAATTGTTTCTGTCAGAAAAATAAAAGGCTGGCATTACAAGGGAAAGTTTCAAAGTTTGGAGGAATACTATCTGATCAGTATATACCAGGTTGAGCGTCAATGTCTACGTCTCCTGCACTCCGAAAAGTTTCGAATTGTTGCCTGAAGACAAGGGAAGACCAATTGGTATTCATTATTTTATGTCACTTCTTCTTGTGTTTGTTCTGTGAGGTGTTCATTGACCGAACATAAAAATCTTTTGCGAAAGTGTTTGTTATCCAATTTGTTCATTAACCGATCACCCACTGTATATGAAAAGCATAACAAAATTCTTAATCAGAATTTAATTAAACTGGCTCCAACTCAAAATAATAGGTTGTCTGATCTGATAATTATAAGAAGTATTAAAAAGGGCCCATTAGAAGAAGAAGGCATGATCTACAGACTCGAATGCACATGTAATATTCCAAGTTTCTATATTGGTGAAAGAGAAAATTGAAGACCAGATTGTTGGAACATTTGGCAACTGTAAGATTAAAAATGAATAATTCTCCTATCTTTGATCATTGTATTAATAATTGTAAAATTAACATTAATAATATAAAATTTGTTTATAAGGAAAAAAATAATGTAAAAAAAAAATTAAAGATCATTTTGCCATAATTATGCAAAATAATATGGTTAATTTAAATACAGACGTGTTGACAGCTGCATGATGGGAGACTTTTGTTGGATATAAAGGTGGAAATTCATAATAGTTAATAGCGATGAAAAATGTTGGAGTTCAAACTATGAAAACCCTACTGAGGAGGCCAAATATCAGCAAAATGAATTTAGAGGACTTACAAATGTAATAAAAGTGTTTTTCTCTGCAAAGTTGGTTTGCTTTTACCTTTTTTTAACTTTAATTTTTATTTCCTTATTGATGTAATGCTTTAGAATTTTAAAGTTATATACCCTGCATAATTCAGAAAGGAAAGAAAAATTGATTTTTTGTGTATTTTTCTACAATACAGTTAAATAAGAATTGGATAATTAATCTGACTCCATTGTTTTAAATAGTTATTTTGAATTCATTTTTTAATTTTGATATAATTTGGTTTCACATTTTAGTTACTTATCAACTTGTTCATCCATTTCTACCAGTTTTTGTGTTTGTACTTTCTTTTTTCAATGACTTCTGGTGAAATAACTGAAGTAATTTGCTATTCAACAAATACTTTCACAAGATTGGAATGCAATAAATTAAGCATTTTATTATATAGTTAGTTAATTATTCATTACTTTTCTTTTTGGGAAATTTGTCTTGAGATAATTCAATTATAAATTATATTTTAATAAACAGGATTTTATAGATTATAACATCTACTTAATTTATATGTTACATCAATTAATTTATTGCATACATTAAATGAAAACTTTTTACCTGCTTTATTTTCACTTTCTTTCACTGGATCTTTTATTTTATCTAATAATGGCTTTAAAGAAGAACCCACTGTTGAAGCAAGTTTTACCATAGTCAAATTTTCACTAGGTCTTTCCATAGGTTGTAAATTTTGATATTTGGGAGCTTCATATTTATACACCTTTAAATAAAATCGTAATATATATTTAATGGAAATAAGATAGATATTTTCCAGAACAACAAAAACAGATATGAGAGAACAGGAAATTAAAACAACACACAAGAAGTATATTCTAAATGGGTATCCAAAACAAATACTAAGTAATTGGTACAACCACTTCATGTTAAATAATATAAGATGAAAGAAAAACTAGAAACCAAAAAGTATGTATCATTTTCTTGTATAAAAGACATACAGTGGGTGATTGGTTAATGAACATAATCCATTCCAAGACTTTGTTTGCTATCCGAATTATTCGTTAACAGATTATTGATTTACTATAGGTTTCTATGGGAATTTAATTAATTTGTTCTGGAGATCCCAAAAAATAAAAAATATATACTTTCTTACTACATTTTTATTATTACTATATGTAATAATAAAAATACATATACACACAGTCTTNTACAAGCGCATAAAATAAGTTTCATAAACACAAATGCATTTAAAATATAACAATCCTTTGCTATGTTTGCAGGTAATTCCAAACATAGCAGAATGCTTTTTTTAAACTATGGATATGAAATAGCTGCATTGCTTTGAATGAATGAGAATGTATATGCAACAATTAATACATTTAATTAATTAACCTAAACATCATTTTGTTGTTAAATCTTTTAAAGATGCAACCTTATGACAAAAATATAGAAACACATAAAAATTAAGTTATGACTAAAATTAGTAAACTAGTCTCAATTATTCAATGTTAATACTAACATTACAATATTATTTTATTTGACTTAAATATTAATAAGAAATATAATCTTAATCCCCTCTCAGTCTAATTTTTTTCAGGATGACCACTAATTTTATTTCAAATACAGTAATACCTCGATTTACGCGAATCTGGAGTTACGCAATTTTCAAATCTCGTCGATTCGCCTTTTGTTTGAGCGGCACACAACTCTTGATTACTCACTCCCCCCACACTATTGTTCAGCTTACATGTTCGGACGTGTCGAGCGGAATCGATGCATAGCTACAATTTATTTTGTGTTATTTATTTCTGTGTTTGTTATATCTACGGAGACTTGAGNCTTTTGTTTGAGCGGCACACAACTCTTGATTACTCACTCCCCCCACACTATTGTTCAGCTTACATGTTCGGACGTGTCGAGCGGAATCGATGCATAGCTACAATTTATTTTGTGTTATTTATTTCTGTGTTTGTTATATCTACGGAGACTTGAGAGACCCTATATGGTGAATTCTTGTAACCGTAAACGAATCAAAAGACGAGATAAGATTAATGGGAACATTTATTAGCTTACATACATCCAACTTGGAGTTTACACAAATTGAGAAATTATACCCCGACTTACGCGGTTATCGCTTGGTCTCACCTATCGCGTAAGTTCGGGATATTACTGTATCAAAAAATTTATATTTTTTATCATTGAAATTTGATATATAATTAATTTTTATGAAGTTATATGCAAAAGATTAGCTCTTACACTTTTTTTAAATAAAAATATAATTATTTTAATACAACACCAAACGATCGCCTAAATATCGGGCTATAAAAAGGCTAATTAAATGTTTGGTATAAAATAAAATTCGACTTACATAAGCCTGTAACCGATGTGAAATGGCAAAAATTCTAAATCCCTACCTTTGACATACTACGCAATGGAAAGGACCAGCCTGACCCGATCAAATCGCCGGGCATATATCGGATCCCTGTTCGTGATGATAGATTCGGTAGGGATTTAGTCTATATAGGATCTACGAAATGCTCGATGAGCGTGAGAATAAGCAAACACAAAGCAGACATACGACATAACAGAGCCACCACGTCACTCTCGGTTTATGCTTCTGACCCTGATGTTATGGTTGACTTCACAGGAGCAAAGTTAATAGTTAGAACAACACAGAGAGACCACCTCAAATGGTTAGAGACGGTGAAGATATATAAGGCGCACACTACATCTGAGTGCATTAATTCACGGGAGGAGATGGCTCTTTCGGTCGCTTGGCAAGCCGTTCTACATAGTGACTCGTAAAGATGGATCTAATATCTGATGATGCGGGGGACACGTGACGTCAAATGTTAGAATATTGCATCAAATGAAGAACAAGAAAAAAATTAAATGAGGATTAGAAGATTTAATGTGAAGCCGAACAATGGGGAACACGATGTGTACATCGTGAATTTGAACTGTCATCGGTCGTTTTATTTTAAATTTATTTTAAAATTTTATAATAGTGTTCCAGAATATGAAAAAATCCAGTTTGAATACCTGAGGAAGAACACGGAAGGTGTTCAGAAAACGTTTGT